CGGAGCATGCTGGGCTGGGCACAGTGAGCCCCTTGTCCTCCTCCCCAAATGCTGTCCCCTCCCTAACACTGGCCATGCTCACGGCCCAGCTGGGATGGGGCGGTGGCAGAGGACAGCCCTGTGCCACGGGGACACTGGGGGGGCTGACATGACACATCGAGGCTCCTGCACCTTGGCCTCCGTGGGGCCTGGGTGCTCAATGCCATGCATGTCCCCATACTGTCCTGCACCAATGCCCCACGCCCCACATGTCCCCACACTGTCCTGCAGCAATGCTCCATGTGTCCCCACACTGTCCTGCAGCAATGCCCCACCTGTCCCAACGCTGTCCTACAGCAATGCCCCACATGTCCCCACGCTGTCCTGCAGCAACGCCCCCATGAACCACACCCTGCGTGTCCCCATACTGTCCTGCAGCAACGCCCTGTGCCACACACGTCCCCACGCTGTCCTACAGCAATGCCCCATGCCCCACATGTCCCCACGCTGTCCTGCAGCAGTGCCCCACATGTCCCCACGCTGTCCTGCAGCAATGCCCCACCTGTCCCAACACTGTCCTGCAGCAATGCCCCATGTGTCCCCATGCTGTCCTGCAGCAATGCCCCATGTGTCCCCACACTGTCCTGCAGCAGTGCCCCATGTGTCCCCACGCTGTCCTGCAGCAATGCCCCACATGTCCCCACCCTGTCCTGCAGCAAGCCCCACGCCCCACATGTCCCCACACTGTCCTGCAGCAATGCTCCATGTGTCCCCACACTGTCCTGCAGCAATGCCCCACCTGTCCCCACGCTGTCCTGCAGCAATGCCCCACATGTCCCCACGCTGTCCTGCAGCAGTGCCCCATGTGTCCCCATGCTGTCCTGCAGCAATGCCCCACGTGTCCCCACGCTGTCCTACAGCAGTGCCCCATGTGTCCCCAGGCTGCCCCGCAGCCGTTCCCACCCAGACGCGGAGCAGCACACATCCCGCACGCAGTCCCTGCTCTGCAGCAAGCCCCTGGCTGTGGCCGTGCGGGTGACGGCTGTGCCCTGTCCTGCAGGTGCTGGCGATGGTGACGATGACGCTGCAGCTGGGTGGGCTGGCGCTGGCCGTGCTGGGCTGGCTGGGCTCCATCCTCACCTGCGCGCTGCCCACGTGGAAGGTGACGGCCTTCATCGGCTCCAACCTGGTGACGGCGCAGGTGTTCTGGGAAGGGCTGTGGATGAACTGTGTGTACGAGAGCACGGGGCAGATGCAGTGCAAGGTCTACGACTCGCTGCTGGAGCTCACCTCCGACCTGCAGGCTGCCCGCGCCTTGGTGGTCACCTCCATCTTCGTGGCCTGCTTTGCCTTCCTCACCGCCGTCTCAGGAGCCGACTGCACCCGCTGCGTGGATGACAAGGGCACCAAGACCAGGATCTCCATTGTGGCGGGCGGCATCTTTGTCCTGGCCAGCATCTTGCTGCTCATCCCTGTCTCCTGGTCTGCCAACACCATCGTCACCAGCTTCTACAACCCCATGGTGCCCGACGCCCTCAAGAGAGAGCTGGGAGCCGCCCTCTACATAGGCTGGGCCTCCAGCGCCCTCCTGCTTTTTGGGGGGGGCATCCTGTGCTGCTCAGGACCCCCATCGCAGCAGGACCCCTACCCCAGCAAGTA